ACTGTAAGAACCACTCGTTTTTAACACTTCCTCATTTGGTAAATTAAAACTCGCCAAAATATAATTTATATGGAGGGTAATAATTTGGGGGTGGATATCTTCCCATAACATACTGATTACAATTTTGATAACCATGATGAAAAGGGATGGCTGCTGATGTTGATTTCCTGGGTAGGGTTGGTTCTGTGACTGGTGCTCTTGCCCGATTAATTGTGTCATAAGATATTCTGTGTGCAACTTGATGCTGTATGCGACTAGTTATAGTAAGTCCTATGCGGCGGTGGTGGTAGTATAGATATTTGATATGAAGTGTAAGGTGCTGGAGGAGCCGTTGTTTGAGGAGGAGGAGGAGGAGGATGTTGGATTGGTATGAAGGCAATACTGCCATCATTGGTATTGTTGGTGATAGTCTCTACATTTGTTGAAGCTGATATGCAGCGTGGCGTTGAGCAAATACTGAAGGTATTTGGTCAGTGGTAAGAAATAAATTTTCATCTTCCCATGTTGTACGAAAATAATTGCAGTCTTTTCTTGTACAGTCACGTCTATTCCGATAGTCGTGGCAATTTTTTTAATTTTTTTTATTTCTTCAATGTCAAGTTTATAACGAAATTTATATTTTGCCTTTAGAACATGTCCCCCCTACATACTTACGACATATTTACGTAGGTTGGTTACTGGTTTGCTTCTTTTCTGTTTCGGTATGCGATTCAGATAGCGGCCGAGGCTGTGCGGAGATGTTTCTCGAACTCTACGTTAAATGGGGTGTCTGTATCGCTATGGCCAAAATTACCTCAAATGGGGTAAGGCCTGTAGTTGAGTATATAGCATGACTATATGCGATAACTGTGTACGTAATTATTGACGAGGCATCAGTGCACTTTTGTTCATTTTTTGCTAAAGGTGAAAATACACGGTTCAATCAAATTGAATCACTTTGGTTGAATGGAGCAGAAATGAAAGGAATACTGTTTACACGGTATCTGGAAAATGAACTGTTCAACACATATTCTTCGAAAGATGTCGTCGAATGAGGTCGTACGTTTAGGAGTTGCAATAATATGTGATCATTTAATAAAAGAATTATCGAAAAAGAAGCTAAGGAAACGCCGTCGTTGGTGAGTGCGATCATGGGTATTAAGAAGGCAAGCCTTAGGAGCGTCAAACCGTCTATTGAGAGAATTGGCAGAAGAGGATCCAGATGCATACCTCAATCATCTTCGCATGAATGAAGCAAAATTTGATGAACTTCTTACAATGGTTACACCGTTAATTCAGAAAGAAAATACTATGATGAGAGATGCTTTGCCCGCAAGAGTAAAATTGCAAATCATTCTCAGACATCTTGCTACTGGGGATTGTTTTGGATCATTGGAAGCATTATACAGAGTACCGAGATGCTCAATATCATCTTTTTTCGAAGCAGTGTGTGAAGCGATATGGATAGTACTACGAGATTTTATTAAGGTCAGTAAAATATAGTGTAAATAAAACAAATGAATTAAGTAAATTTAGTGTATTCTTTTAATATTTCACAACATGTTTCTCATAGCTGTTTGGAGCAAGTCCGAAGTATTATTTTCTTGAGTTGTGGGCAGTATCTCACTGATTTGTTGAGTGTTTATGGGTGTTTGAACCACATGATGATCATAAGTTTGAATAGGTGCCAATTGGAACTGAGAAATGGACGAAGGATATTGCTCATGTTGATAAGTATCTGGAGACATTTCATAGGTATAAGAACTATGTGACAACGATGATGAACGCGTAAAATCATGAGGGGATGTATTAATGAACTGCAGCCGTTCCTGCACCATGACTTCTTGTAATTTCTGTTGACAAATCAAAGCTCGATGTAGTGGCATTCGCTTTAACTGCACAGCCAAATTTCTACAGAATAAGCCAAATTCATCTTCGGTGTTATTTTTAGCACCATCGCTAATGATTTTCAACTGCTTTATAGCCTTGTCTATTGGTGTATCACTGCATCTTTTCCGGTTTCTCGGCGCATGAGATATATTCGCGAGAGGCTGTTCATCTTTTGAGGTCTGAGAATGTGCGCTATCTTTTGCTTGAGGAGTTTCCTGACTCTTCTCTGTGTTTTCATATTCTGTCACCTGTGACTGCTACTCTGGGATGTTCTGTAAATAAAATTATGATTTTGTTTCAGGTTCCACAAAGCGAAAGTGAATGGAGAAAGATAATGAATAGTTTTTCCAAGATGTGGAATTTTCCAAACTGCTGTGGAGCCATGGATAGAAAGCTAGTAAAGATAAGATGCCCGCCAAATAGTGCTTTTGAGTATTTTTATTACAAAAAAATTTCAGTATTATTTTATTCGCTGTCGTAGACGCCAATTATAATTTCATTTACATAGATGTGGGAACTAATGGAAGAGCAAATGATGCTTGCGTTTTTGAAAAATCAACATTGAATGAAGCGATAACCGCAAATCTATTAAACATACCAAATGAAGGTGTTTTCGTAGCAGATGATGCATTTCCTCTGAAAACAAATATTTTGAAACCATATAATACAAGAGGGGAGTTCAACGAAAAACACAAAGTTTTCAACTATCGGCTATCCAGAGCAAGACGCGTAGTCGAAAATGCATTTGGCATATTAGTAGCAAAATTTAGAATATTTGAAAAACCCATCCCACTTACTGTGTCAAAAGTTGAACAGTTAGTAAAAACAACGTGCGCTCTTCATAGCTGGCTTAGAAAAATAACTCCCAATATTAACTTACAACATTTACTTCAGAGAGAGGATTGGGAAAAGGGATGTATTATCCCAGGAGAACGGCGACAAGTACCATCCGAAGCGATTGTGGGCATACCGCAAACCAGGCTAGGAAATCATACTGAAAACGCCCGCAGAGTGCGAAATATGTTTGCAGAAAAATTTATCACTACTAACATTGTACCATGGTGTGACGCCTCATAATTATTATTAATAAATAATAATTAAATTCATTATACAACACATTTAAAAATGTCATAGAAATTATAATTTAAACAATTAAATGCAAATAATAAGCATAAAGTTCAAAAATATCCATTTGGAATATTGAATATTATAATATTAGTAAACGCATAAAATGTCTCTAAAAATCTCTAAATTTATTAAAAACCTGCTTAAAATGTTCAAAATGTATCAAATCATATAAATACAAGGTGATTATATTGCAATAACAAAGATAAATAACATTTGTAATATAATAGAAAAAATGGATCAAGTTGATGAAGGTGTTCTTGTAATAATTGGAAAATTTCTAAGTTGATGAACGTGTTCTTGTAATGTTCCCTTATATTGGGGCGTTGTCGGAGACACATACCCAAGGTTGTACATATATATGGGGTGGTCGGCTGACCGACTGCTAGTACTAAGGTTGCACAATGACTAGTCCTATATTAGGGACTTAACATAGTAAGGTCTGACGAACCAAAGCATTAATATAGAAGGTCTCTATGATGCATAAGCATTATGATAGCAGAGTTATGACTTGAAGTCCCATATGAATAAGACATACAGTAGTATGGTCTATGAAATAAAGCAAATATGTGGAAGGTCTCAAATATGTAAAAGCATTATATTGAAAGAAATGGGACTTGAAAAGGATTATTATAGTGGCGTGCAGGTTGTTTCGCAGCCTCTGAGACCGAGGTAAACTAGGACTCACTAACCGATGTGTCCTAGACATATCATCTTAGTGCCGATGGTAAGCGGGTTTGTTGTAGCAATACGACTTGCCCGTGGACATCGCACACCCCTACCGGTTGTGGGCGGCGTCTTAGCGCATAGCGTTATGATACGTCGGCTATCTTTCGGATTAGGGTGAGTGTGTTTGGTAGTACTTTTAAGTGCAGCAAGCATACTCAACTTCATATCTTAGTGCGATAGCGCTATGATACGTGGAGTTTTGGCTACTGACGTCTTAGTACCGTACTACTATGATACGTTGGTGGTATTTTTAGTTAACAACATTATCAAATTTTGTTACCAAAGTCGATAGGGATCATGTGGGTGTGTTGTGAGGGGGCGCTATCCGTATGATAGTTGCATTGATGCTTACTGCTACTTGCAGTATTGTGTCTTGTGATGGATCTGCGGGTGTGCTGCACCTGATTCGTTGCATCTTGTGGTTCTGGTCGATGGAGGTATGCGGGTGGAGATGTCTGCTGGGACTGTATGGGGGACCTTGGGATGGTGTAAGCTCGACGATAGTCGTATTGATGCTTGTTGCATTCTGTAGCATTGCGTCTCTACGATGGTTGTTTGGCGGGTCGCTATTCTCAATGGCGCTCTCTGCGTCTTGGTTTGACTCACAACCTAAGTAGCTTTGCCCAAGTCGGGTCCCTTCATTGCGGGGCTGCAGACTGTCTGCCCTCCATGATGTTTTATATAACAACTTAATAATATATCTCTATAAAGTTCCCACCTTTGAGAGATTGAAGGCAACTTGTTGGTGGGTGAGACAAACATGATCGAAAAATGCATATACTCAACGTCAGTGACACAAACCCTTTCTGATGGCGAATTATTAATATTATCTTATAACTGCCTATTGGCTATATCTGCCATTGTATTGGTTGGTGGAGCATATGTGTTGACCTCATGCGGGTGGTAGCTGGAGGGAGAATCTGAGGAGGCTCTCAAGGCTGCATGACACGCTCTGCGGCCAATTGGCCGTGCTGACCATGCAATTGGTGGTGATGCCTTACACTTACATCACGTCTGCAGAAACGGCGGTCTGGCAGGTGGTGGCGCTCACGGAGGGCTTTTTATGGTCAGTGTGCCTATTGTTGCCTAACCCGTGTGACGTACATTTCACTGTGGCTGGATTTGATCGTATTCTGTATGGCGTTTACACGCATTGACATGCGCGACTTCGGTCGATGTTTGTGCTTACGCACTATCAAGGGGCCAAGTCCTCTTTTACTGGTTCGCCAGTTATTTTGCTGTGGACTACGGTCCAGTTCCCAACTTTGCGTACCCTTCGGGGGGAGCGCATTAAAATGGTTGGCGCTCACCGTGCGCGGCGTGTGTGGGGCCGTGTACCTCCTCCACATTTTTTTTAAAATGTGGGAGAGCGAAGCCCTTGTAACTGGTATTTGATATAAATATTGTGAGCCTTTTCCAAGCGGGAAGGGATTAATTAATAAGGAATTGACTGTTGTGAACCAGATACAAGTGGAATAGGGACAATTTATTGTTCTTAACCTTTTTGAGCTCTGTCTTCGTGAACGGGGTTCTTTAGCTTATAAGACTCTACCAACAGCTTTCGATTGCTCTCGTGAATATTCATTCTTCCAAGATACACCTAAAAGAACTAAGTTACTATACAAACACAACGTAAAAAAGGGTCCTAACTAAGACGATCACGCCATAAATTTATTAAACGGCCTATATTTAAACCTTTAGAAAGATCAAGTTATACTGGTCACGTAAATTAGATATATTTATATATCTTACAGATATAGATTCTAAAGAAATACAAGTATAAGTGGATATATAGTAGAAGAGAAAAAAGATGGGGGGGGGGGGGGGGGTTCGTTACAACGGGTTGATCATGTCTTTGATGTCAATTAAGCGTCTGTAGTCGACGACCATACGATATTTTTGCTCTCCGGTTGCATCGTTTTTTTTTGGTCCTAAGTACACTGGAGCTTTCCACGGAGAATGCGATTCTTGGATAACATTATCCTTTTATATATTTGTCTATTTATTTCTTCTATTTGTGTTGGGGCCTGTCTGTATGGTTTAACAAAGATTGGATTTTCATTCTTGATGCAAATTTTTACATATTCTATAAATTTCCTCACCTTCTTCGTCGTAAGTATGAACCAATTTGAGTTCATTTAATTGTTTTTCAAGTATTTTGTCGTCAGTTTTTTGTCTGTCACAATTGTAGTAAAATGAAGGTCACATTCAGAAACTAAATAATTTGATACTTGTAGGGGTTAATTAACTGTAAGAATCACTCGTTTTTAACACTTCCTCATTTGGTAAATTAAAACTCGCCAAAATATAATTTATATGGAGGGTAATAATTTGGGGGTGGATATCTTCCCATAACATACTGATTACAATTTTGATAACCATGATGAAAAGGGATGGCTGCTGATGTTGATATCCTGGGTAGGGTTGGTTCTGTGACTGGTGCTCTTGCCCGATTAATTGTGACATAAGATATTCTGTGTGCAACTTGATGCTGTATGCGACTAGTTATAGTAAGTCCTATGCGGCGGTGGTGGTAGTATACATATTTGATATGAAGTGTAAGGTGCTGAAGGAGCCGTTGTTTGAGGAGGAGGAGGTGGAGGAGGGGGATGTTGGATTGGTATGAAGGCATTACTGCCATCATTGGTATTGTTGGTGATAGTCTCTACATTTGTTGAAGCTGACATGCAGCGTGGTGTTGAGCAAATACTCGAGGTATTTGGCCAGTGGTAAGGAATAGATTTTCATCTTCCCACGTTGTACGAAAATAAGTGCAGTTCTCTTGTACAGCCACTTCTATTCCGATAGTCGTGGCAATTTTTTTAATTTTCTTTTAGTTCTTTAACGTCAAGTTCATAACGAAATTTACATTTTGCCTTTTGAACATGTCCCCCATACATACTTACGACATATTTACGTAGGTTGGTTACTGGTTTGCTTCTTTTCTGTTTCGGTATGCGATTCAGATAGCGGCCGAGGCTATGTGGAGATGTTTCTCGAACTCTACGTTAAATGGGGTGTCTGTATCGCTATGGCCAAAATTACCTCAAATGGGGTAAGGCCTGTAGTTGAGTATATAGCATGACTATATGCGATAACTGTGTACGTAATTATTGACGAGGCATTAGTGCACTTTTGTTCATTTTTTGCTAAAAGTGAAAATACACGGTTCAATCAAATTGAATCACTTTGCTTGAATGGAGCAGAAATGAAAGGAATGCTGTTTACACGGTATCTGGAAAATGAACTGTTCAAAACATTTTCTTCGAAAGATGTCGTCGAATGAGGTCGTACGTTTAGGAGTTGCAATAATATGTGATCATATAATAAAAGAATTATCGAAAAAGAAGCTAATGAAACGCCGTCGTTGGTGGGTGCGATCATGGGTATTAATTAAGAAGGCAAGCCTTAGGAGCGTCATACCGTCTATTGAGAGAACTGGCAGAAGAGGATCCAGATGCATACCTCAATCATCTTCGCATGAATGAAGCAAAATTTGATGAACTTCTTACAATGGTTACACCGTTAATTCAGAAAGAAAATACTATGATGAGGGATGCTTTGCCCGCAAGAGTGAAATTGCAAATCATTCTCAGACATCTTGCTACTGGGGATTGTTTTGGATCATTGGAAGCATTATACAGAGTACCGAGATGCTCAATATCATCTTTTTTCGAAGCAGTGTGTGAAGCGATATGGATAGTACTACGAGATTTTATTAAGGTCAGTAAAATATAGTGTAAATAAAACAAATGAATTAAGTAAATTTAGTGTATTCTTTTAATATTTCACAACATGTTTCTCATAGCTGTTTGGAGCAAGTCCGAAGTATTATTTTCTTGAGTTGTGGGCAGTATCTCACTAATTTGTTGAGTGTTTATGGGTGTTTGAAACTCATGATGATCATAAGTTTGAATAGGTGCCAATTGGAACTGAGAAATGGACGAAGGATATTGCTCATGTTGATAAGTATCTGGAGACATTTCATAGGTATAAGAACTATGTGACAACGCTGATGAACGCGTAAAATCATGAGGGGATGTATTAATGAACTGCAGCCGTTCCTGCACCATGACTTCTTGTAATTTCTGTTGACAAATCAAAGCTCGATGTAGTGGCATTCGCTTTAACTGCACAGCCAAATTTCTACAGAATAAGTCAAATTCATCTTCGGTGTTATTTTTAGCACCATCGCTAATGATTTTCAACTGCTTTATAGCCTTGTCTATTGGTGTATCACTGCATCTTTTCCGGTTTCTCAGCGCATGAGATATATTCGCGAGAGGCTGTTCATCTTTTGAGGTCTGAGAATGTGCGCTCTTTTGCTTGAGGAGTTTCCTGACTCTTCTCTGTGTTTTCATATTCTGTCACCTGTGACTGCTAGTCTGGGATGTTCTGTAAATAAAATTATGATTTTGTTTCAGGTTCCACAAAGCGAAAGTGAATGGAGAAAGATAATGAATAGTTTTTACAAGATGTGGAATTTTCCAAACTGCTGTGGAGCCAAGGATAGAAAGCTAGTAAAGATAAGATGCCTGCCAAATAGTGCTTCTGAGTATTTTTATTACAAAAAAAATTTCAGTATTATTTTATTCGCTGTCGTAGACGCCAATTATAATTTAATTTACATAGATGTGGGAACTAATGGAAGAGCAAATGATGCTTGCGTTTTTGAAAAATCAACATTGAATGAAGTGATAACCGCAAATCTATTAAACATACCAAATGAAGGTGTTTTCGTAGCAGATGATGCATTTCCTCTGAAAACAAATATTTTGAAACCATATAATACAAGAGGGGAGTTCAACGAAAAACACAAAGTTTTCAACTATCGGCTATCCAGAGCAAGACGCGTAGTCGAAAATGCATTTGGCATATTAGTAGCAAAATTTAGAATATTTGAAAAACCCATCCCACCCACTGTGTCAAAAGTTGAACAGTTAGTAAAAACAACGTGCGCTCTTCATAACTGGCTTAGAAAAACAACTCCCAATATTAACTTACAATATTCACTTGAGAGAGAGGATTGGGAAAAGGGATGTATTATCCCAGGAGAACGGCGACAAGTACCATCCGAAGCGATTGTGGGCATACCGCAAACCAGGCTAGGAAATCATACTGAAAACGCCCGCAGAGTGCGAAATATGTTTGCAGAAAAATTTATCACTACTAACATTGTACCATGGCAATTACAAATGATAAGAAGAGTAGAATAATTTTCAATCTGTTTTATGTATTTGCGTAAGATTGTTTAAAAGCTTGTAATAACTATTGTGTTTTATTTAAATACTAGCTTTTAACCGCGGCTCCGCCCGCGTGGATGTCGGCTATCGCAACAAGTATGAACACATTACCCTCCTGTTGGACTCCGTCGTAGTCGGTTAAAAAGTAGCCTATGTTACTCAGGTTTAGTGTAGCATTTTAAAGGTGAAATTTTTTTTTGAAATCACCCCAGTAGTTTCGGAGTCTATTCAATACAAACAAACAACTATTCGAATCTTTCCTCTTTATAATATTAGTGTAGACTAGCGGTTCGCTCCAGCTTCGCATGGGTTTAATATATTAATTCAAATAGTAGGTACTCACGAAGTTAGATGTGCCTGCCCTTGGAACACATACAGCATTCAAAAACTCATCCGCTTGTTTAAACCAAAACAACTTTGGAACATAAATATCATCTGTGGAATAACCGCTTTTGGTCAATCGTTTTATTTTCGCTAATTCACAAGTATAACGGGTACGTATACTTTTAATTTTTAATTTTATGTCGTCTTCGGTTACACCGCTAATGTTCAAATCTTCAATTAGCGATTTAATAGCATTTCCACGACAATCTCGGTTTTTATAACCCTCCGTTTTATAATTCCATAGACACGTATACTTTTTAAAATGTTCCAAGAACAGAGGTGTGTGTTCTTCCTTCTATTTGAAAATCATTTCGTAGGTATGTAGTAGGTAGGTACGTATTGTCCAAAAATACGCCCTTCCTCGACACTGCGACGCGCACGACTGACTGTAAAAGTGAATCGTTCAATTCTTGTGTTTACACATTCATTTCTCATTCATTCGCGTTGAATATTGAACGCTAAAAGTGAAAATATTGAGCATGTTCAATTCTTTCAACGCCGTAGAACGACAACATTCAATGACATTGAATGATTCACTTATAAGTTTACATGGATCAATTTGGTTGCTTCATCCAAATTGAAAGACAAAAGTGAACCGTGTAATTTCACCTTAACCTGTAGATTTCAATGACTGTTGAATGAAATCGCTCAATTATTCCTATTGAGTTTGGGTTATTGCTTGTACCTATGTGACGTTCTATTTAATGGAGGCTAAGGGAATCATTCATTAACTCGTTATTGAATTCCATTCCGGGATCCGAATTTATCTTTTTAAGAATCTCACAAAAAGAGAAGTATTTTAACCCATTAAAGCCTGAGTTTTCGAAACTTTTGTTTTTTTTTGTTTTTTTTTTTTTATTTCTATTCGGGTTGAATAAGTAACAACATTACACCAAAAGAAAAAATAACAAGAACATCAATTTTGAGTTTTGAGACTGTTGTCATATGGCAACGCTAGGTTCAAATGAGTACAAAAATTCAGTTTTCTACTGTTTTTCATGAAAAGAAACACAAACGAATATTTTTTTAAATTTATTTAGATAAATCTATATAAAGTGAAAAATAAAAAAATGTTAAAATTTTACTCAGAATGATAATTTCCAAAATATTTAAGACATAAACCTACATCAAAATTTGAATATATGACTCTCCCAATAGTTGTACAGTGTGCTCCGGCACATCTTCGTTTTTTTTCTACTGATTTTGGATAGTGATTTACTCTTTCATTTGTTACTCCTTCCGAAACCCTTGATCCAGACTTAGAGGTAGATGGTCGATCACAAGATTTCGGGGGATTTCCATGGTTTTTCAAATATGTTTGGGTTAATTCACGACGGAAATTGAGCTGCGAAATGTCTTTTCCTGATTTTCGTATCAGTGTCCCGGCATCATTTATAGTAAAAATAGGCCACCACCATTTTTTGCCTCGAATCCCAATCCTATAATTGTTTACATGAGCAAATCCTACTGGAGTTACTTTGTGACCTGTAGAAGCAACAGTTTCAATAGAATTATCCATCCATGGGGCTCGCTTTAACGATATCAACTTGAGAGGCATATTCGTATGAGCCTCTCGCTCTTTTTTTCAAGACTTCAACCTTAGAAATTGGGCATTCTTTTGGCAATCTGTTTTGACGATCTGTTTTGGCGAAGTGTGCCTGTTCCTCCGTAACCAATACTTTTCAATTGAATCAAAAGTGGAATACTAATGGGTCCGCCAAATAACTTTTTTTATTTGAAAGTACAATCCTTCCGGTTAATGATGGAAAATAATTTCATTCAAATGGCTGCCTCGGCTGGCCATGCAGTAGCCTACACGATCGGTCCAATTTTTGAGTACATTATCGATTGTGTGCAGCTGTATTTCACCAATGGCTTCACGAATATTGTCCTTTAAAGCGTCAATTGTCTCTGGCTTGTCGGCGTAACACTTATCTTTGACGGCACCCCACAAATAATAGTCCAACGGTGTCAAATCGCAGCTCCGAGGTGGCCAAACGACATCAGCTCTGCGGCTGATAATGCGATTTTCAAAAACAGGGCGCAAAACATCAAGTGTAGCGTCGGCTGTGTGGCACGTTGCGCCGTCTTGTTGAAACCAAATGTTGCCAATATCCTCCTCTTCAATTTCTGTGAACAAAAATTCGTTCAACATGGCCCGATAACGATCGCCATTGACTGTAACGGCCACACCTTGCTCGTTTTCGAAGAAAAATGGCCCAATTATGCCTCTGGACCAAAATCCGCACCAAACAGTGACTCGTTTTGGGTGTACCGGCTTTTTGATGAATGCGTGCGGGTTTTCTGTGCCCCAAATGCGACAATTCTGCTTGTTTACATACCCGCCAAGTTCGAAATGAGCTTCATCTGAAAAGATGATTTTTTTGGCAAAATCCGCATCTTCTGCAAGTCGATCGCAGGCCCACTTAGCGAAGCGAAAACGCATTGGATGGTCAGTTGGCTTCAACTCCTGAACCAATTGGATTTTGTACGGCGTCATACCAAGGTCTTTACGCAAAATTCGTCTCAATGATGTCTCCGAAATGTCCAATTGTTGAGAACGACGGTGAACTGATGTTGATGGCGTTTCACGCACACTTTCGGCCACAGCAGCAATATTCTCGGGTGTACGCACTGTTTTTGGCTTTTCACGCGTTGGTTTATCGATGAGGATGCCAGTTTCTTTCACTTTTTTCACAAGGTAACGAACATACGGAGCTGACGGTGCTTCATTTCTTCCAAAATCCGTACGCAATTTTCGCACACATTCTGCAACATTACCATGATTTTCAAAGTAACGTCGCAATATTTCCCAGCGTTGTTCAAGCGTATACACAACCATATTCGTTCAGCGGAAGGATAAAACTAATTATCTGTCAAATTAGACGTGAGCTAAGTGTTGCCATTCACGAAATAAGCACTAGTTGAAAAAAAAAAGTTAGATGGCGGACCCTATAGTAAAAAGGTTGTCAAAATAAAATTAAGGTTTCTGTTTTCTTTATCACTTCTGGTAATTTAATGATCATGGAAAGCATGGATGCTGTTGTTTTTCTAGAGTTTTGCTCATTTTCAATATTCGCACCTGGGATAGCACCTTGATACACTTTAAAATTGTCAAATAACCACTACTGTCATTCAAACACCAACATTTATATCCAAACCGGATAGGTTTGTTACGAATACATTGCTTGAATTCATGATTTCCGAAGTATTCAATCATGCTTTCATCATAGTTAAGATTTTGTTCAATGGCAATTTGGTCGAGAAATTTTTGTATTAGTTTATTAATTGGAGGTCGCAATTTCGTAATTGTATCGTTTTTATCAAGTTTGCTTTTGTCAGCTGCACGAATGAAACGCATAATCTGAATAAATCTATCGCGCCTCATAGCGTTATACGAGTCTTTAGAGTTATCGTCTTGAATAACTCTTTCTAAGATTTTTCTCATATCTAATCGTATGAATTTTTTCTTTGGCATAGTAAATGTATCATCAGATCTGTTTACATTTTCATGATATTTCTTTGGATTCTGTAAGTATATTCATATTACTGTTACTACAATGCTGCTTTTTTTAATTCTTGTACGTTGTGCTTTATATAATTCAGTACTTAACACCGTGTCATGAGTGAGCAACTTCTCTAAAACAAATTTTAGTGTTGTTTCTGCAGTTAACGGGGCCTCTACAGCCAATTTAAATGGCTGCAAACTGTCAATCAAGTCTTTTATTTCCGACCATTCAAGTCTTTTATTTCAATCAAGTCTTTTATTTCCGATCATTCTCGTTATGCGGTCCAATTTCGATTTGATATATTTTTTGTCAATAACTTGATCCCAGGAACTTGATGCATATAAAATAATCGGTTCAATTACTGCTATGTAAATAATTCTTAATATTTCACTACTAAGTCCCCAGGTAGATTTGGCAGCTCTAGTAATACTTTTATATATATTTGTTACTTTTTGTATTGTTTTGTCTAAATGTTAGTTGAAATTTGAATTACTATAGATTGTTAATCCTAATACTGTAAGATCACTACCTATATTTAGTAGTGTGTTATTTAGTGCAAATTTTGATGAATCATATTTTAGCTTCTTCGTTACTATTATTACTTTTGTTTTGTGGGCTGCAAATTTCATATTATATCGTTTGGCTCTAATGGATTAATGGGGCTCTAACAACTACCGGTGTTGATTTGTTAAGTATATCCACGGTCTACCCTAATTTACCGAATGCATCAATAAGGGTTAAGTAGTTTTTACCTTCTATGGAAAATAAATCGATGAACACCCCTTGAAAAAGCGCATCTTGTTTTTGTGTTAATTGCATGATGGGTTTAGGCTTTCAATCACATTTCATCATATTGCAAGTTTTGCAAGCATTGATAATTGCTGCTACTGTCTGTTCCATTTGACTCCAACGAAAATTCCTACGAAGCATAACTAATGGTTTCTTTCCGTGGTGGCATATCTTTCCTTCTTGATAAAAATATCAAGAAAGAAACTATCATTTTTTGTTCACTCTCTTCCGCAATATATACCACTCGATCTGTGCATTCATACGGGTTGATCATGTCTTTGATGTCAATTAAGCGTCTGTAGTCGACGACCATACGATATTTTTGTTCTCCGGTTGCATCGTTTTTTTTGGTCCTAAGTACACTGGAGCTTTCCACGGAGAATACGATTCTTGGATAACATTATCTTTTTATATATTTGTCTATTTATTTCTTCTATTTGTATTGTGGCCTGTCTGTATGGTTTAACAAAGATTAGATTTTCATTTTTGATGCGAATTTTTACACATTCTATAAATTTCCTGACCTTCCTCGTCGTAAGTATGAACCAATTTGAGTTCATTTAATTATTTTTCAAGTATTTTGTCGTCAGTTTTTTGTCTGTCACAATTGTAGTAAAATGAAGGTCACATTCAGAAACTAAATAATTTGATACTTGTAGGGGTTAATTAACTGTAAGAACCACTCGTTTTTAACACTTCCTCATTTGGTAAATTAAAACTCGCCAAAATATAATTTATATGGAGGGTAATAATTTGGGGGTGGATATCTTCCCATAACATACTGATTACAATTTTGATAACCATGATGAAAAGGGATGGCTGCTGATGTTGATTTCCTGGGTAGGGTTGGTTCTGTGACTGGTGCTCTTGCCCGATTAATTGTGTCATAAGATATTCTGTGTGCAACTTGATGCTGTATGCGACTAGTTATAGTAAGTCCTATGCGGCGGTGGTGGTAGTATAGATATTTGATATGAAGTGTAAGGTGCTGGAGGAGCCGTTGTTTGAGGAGGAGGAGGAGGAGGATGTTGGATTGGTATGAAGGCAATACTGCCATCATTGGTATTGTTGGTGATAGTCTCTACATTTGTTGAAGCTGATATGCAGCGTGGCGTTGAGCAAATACTGAAGGTATTTGGTCAGTGGTAAGAAATAAATTTTCATCTTCCCATGTTGTACGAAAATAATTGCAGTCTTTTCTTGTACAGTCACGTCTATTCCGATAGTCGTGGCAATTTTTTTAATTTTTTTTATTTCTTCAATGTCAAGTTTATAACGAAATTTATATTTTGCCTTTAGAACATGTCCCCCCTACATACTTACGACATATTTACGTAGGTTGGTTACTGGTTTGCTTCTTTTCTGTTTCGGTATGCGATTCAGATAGCGGCCGAGGCTGTGCGGAGATGTTTCTCGAACTCTACGTTAAATGGGGTGTCTGTATCGCTATGGCCAAAATTACCTCAAATGGGGTAAGGCCTGTAGTTGAGTATATAGCATGACTATATGCGATAACTGTGTACGTAATTATTGACGGGGCATCAGTGCACTTTTGTTCATTTTTTGCTAAAGGTGAAAATACACGGTTCAATCAAATTGAATCACTTTGGTTGAATGGAGCAGAAATGAAAGGAATACTGTTTACACGGTATCTGGAAAATGAACTGTTCAACACATATTCTTCGAAAGATGTCGTCGAATGAGGTCGTACGTTTAGGAGTTGCAATAATATGTGATCATTTAATAAAAGAATTATCGAAAAAGAAGCTAAGGAAACGCCGTCGTTGGTGAGTGCGATCATGGGTATTAAGAAGGCAAGCCTTAGGAGCGTCAAACCGTCTATTGAGAGAATTGGCAGAAGAGGATCCAGATGCATACCTCAATCATCTTCGCATGAATGAAGCAAAATTTGATGAACTTCTTACAATGGTTACACCGTTAATTCAGAAAGAAAATACTATGATGAGAGATGCTTTGCCCGCAAGAGTAAAATTGCAAATCATTCTCAGACATCTTGCTACTGGGGATTGTTTTGGATCATTGGAAGCATTATACAGAGTACCGAGATGCTCAATATCATCTTTTTTCGAAGCAGTGTGTGAAGCGATATGGATAGTACTACGAGATTTTATTAAGGTCAGTAAAATATAGTGTAAATAAAACAAATGAATTAAGTAAATTTAGTGTATTCTTTTAATATTTCACAACATGTTTCTCATAGCTGTTTGGAGCAAGTCCGAAGTATTATTTTCTTGAGTTGTGGGCAGTATCTCACTGATTTGTTGAGTGTTTATGGGTGTTTGAACCACATGATGATCATAAGTTTGAATAGGTGCCAATTGGAACTGAGAAATGGACGAAGGATATTGCTCATGTTGATAAGTATCTGGAGACATTTCATAGGTATAAGAACTATGTGACAACGATGATGAACGCGTAAAATCATGAGGGGATGTATTAATGAACTGCAGCCGTTCCTGCACCATGACTTCTTGTAATTTCTGTTGACAAATCAAAGCTCGATGTAGTGGCATTCGCTTTAACTGCACAGCCAAATTTCTACAGAATAAGCCAAATTCATCTTCGGTGTTATTTTTAGCACCATCGCTAATGATTTTCAACTGCTTTATAGCCTTGTCTATTGGTGTATCACTGCATCTTTTCCGGTTTCTCGGCGCATGAGATATATTCGCGAGAGGCTGTTCATCTTTTGAGGTCTGAGAATGTGCGCTATCTTTTGCTTGAGGAGTTTCCTGACTCTTCTCTGTGTTTTCATATTCTGTCACCTGTGACTGCTACTCTGGGATGTTCTGTAAATAAAATTATGATTTTGTTTCAGGTTCCACAAAGCGAAAGTGAATGGAGAAAGATAATGAATAGTTTTTCCAAGATGTGGAATTTTCCAAACTGCTGTGGAGCCATGGATAGAAAGCTAGTAAAGATAAGATGCCCGCCAAATAGTGCTTTTGAGTATTTTTATTACAAAAAAATTTCAGTATTATTTTATTCGCTGTCGTAGACGCCAATTATAATTTCATTTACATAGATGTGGGAACTAATGGAAGAGCAAATGATGCTTGCGTTTTTGAAAAATCAACATTGAATGAAGCGATAACCGCAAATCTATTAAACATACCAAATGAAGGTGTTTTCGTAGCAGATGATGCATTTCCTCTGAAAACAAATATTTTGAAACCATATAATACAAGAGGGGAGTTCAACGAAAAACACAAAGTTTTCAACTATCGGCTATCCAGAGCAAGACGCGTAGTCGAAAATGCATTTGGCATATTAGTAGCAAAATTTAGAATATTTGAAAAACCCATCCCACTTACTGTGTCAAAAGTTGAACAGTTAGTAAAAACAACGTGCGCTCTTCATAGCTGGCTTAGAAAAATAACTCCCAATATTAACTTACAACATTTACTTCAGAGAGAGGATTGGGAAAAGGGATGTATTATCCCAGGAGAACGGCGACAAGTACCATCCGAAGCGATTGTGGGCATACCGCAAACCAGGCTAGGAAATCATACTGAAAACGCCCGCAGAGTGCGAAATATGTTTGCAGAAAAATTTATCACTACTAACATTGTACCATGGTGTGACGCCTCATAATTATTATTAATAAATAATAATTAAATTCATTATACAACACATTTAAAAATGTCATAGAAATTATAATTTAAACAATTAAATGCAAATAATAAGCATAAAGTTCAAAAATATCCATTTGGAATATTGAATATTATAATATTAGTAAACGCATAAAATGTCTCTAAAAATCTCTAAATTTATTAAAAACCTGCTTAAAATGTTCAAAATGTATCAAATCATATAAATACAAGGTGATTATATTGCAATAACAAAGATAAATAACATTTGTAATATAATAGAAAAAATGGATCAAGTTGATGAAGGTGTTCTTGTAATAATTGGAAAATTTCTAAGTTGATGAACGTGTTCTTGTAATGTTCCCTTATATTGGGGCGTTGTCGGAGACACATACCCAAGGTTGTACATATATATGGGGTGGTCGGCTGACCGACTGCTAGTACTAAGGTTGCACAATGACTAGTCCTATATTAGGGACTTAACATAGTAAGGTCTGACGAACCAAAGCATTAATATAGAAGGTCTCTATGATGCATAAGCATTATGATAGCAGAGTTATGACTTGAAGTCCCATATGAATAAGACATACAGTAGTATGGTCTATGAAATAAAGCAAATATGTGGAAGGTCTCAAATATGTAAAAGCATTATATTGAAAGAAATGGGACTTGAAAAGGATTATTATAGTGGCGTGCAGGTTGTTTCGCAGCCTCTGAGACCGAGGTAAACTAGGACTCACTAACCGATGTGTCCTAGACATATCATCTTAGTGCCGATGGTAAGCGGGTTTGTTGTAGCAATACGACTTGCCCGTGGACATCGCACACCCCTACCGGTTGTGGGCGGCGTCTTAGCGCATAGCGTTATGATACGTCGGCTATCTTTCGGATTAGGGTGAGTGTGTTTGGTAGTACTTTTAAGTGCAGCAAGCATACTCAACTTCATATCTTAGTGCGATAGCGCTATGATACGTGGAGTTTTGGCTACTGACGTCTTAGTACCGTACTACTATGATACGTTGGTGGTATTTTTAGTTAACAACATTATCAAATTTTGTTACCAAAGTCGATAGGGATCATGTGGGTGTGTTGTGAGGGGGCGCTATCCGTATGATAGTTGCATTGATGCTTACTGCTACTTGCAGTATTGTGTCTTGTGATGGATCTGCGGGTGTGCTGCACCTGATTCGTTGCATCTTGTGGTTCTGGTCGATGGAGGTATGCGGGTGGAGATGTCTGCTGGGACTGTATGGGGGACCTTGGGATGGTGTAAGCTCGACGATAGTCGTATTGATGCTTGTTGCATTCTGTAGCATTGCGTCTCTACGATGGTTGTTTGGCGGGTCGCTATTCTCAATGGCGCTCTCTGCGTCTTGGTTTGACTCACAACCTAAGTAGCTTTGCCCAAGTCGGGTCCCTTCATTGCGGGGCTGCAGACTGTCTGCCCTCCATGATGTTTTATATAACAACTTAATAATATATCTCTATAAAGTTCCCACCTTTGAGAGATTGAAGGCAACTTGTTGGTGGGTGAGACAAACATGATCGAAAAATGCATATACTCAACGTCAGTGACACAAACCCTTTCTGATGGCGAATTATTAATATTATCTTATAACTGCCTATTGGCTATATCTGCCATTGTATTGGTTGGTGGAGCATATGTGTTGACCTCATGCGGGTGGTAGCTGGAGGGAGAATCTGAGGAGGCTCTCAAGGCTGCATGACACGCTCTGCGGCCAATTGGCCGTGCTGACCATGCAATTGGTGGTGATGCCTTACACTTACATCACGTCTGCAGAAACGGCGGTCTGGCAGGTGGTGGCGCTCACGGAGGGCTTTTTATGGTCAGTGTGCCTATTGTTGCCTAACCCGTGTGACGTACATTTCACTGTGGCTGGATTTGATCGTATTCTGTATGGCGTTTACACGCATTGACATGCGCGACTTCGGTCGATGTTTGTGCTTACGCACTATCAAGGGGCCAAGTCCTCTTTTACTGGTTCGCCAGTTATTTTGCTGTGGACTACGGTCCAGTTCCCAACTTTGCGTACCCTTCGGGGGGAGCGCATTAAAATGGTTGGCGCTCACCGTGCGCGGCGTGTGTGGGGCCGTGTACCTCCTCCACATTTTTTTTAAAATGTGGGAGAGCGAAGCCCTTGTAACTGGTATTTGATATAAATATTGTGAGCCTTTTCCAAGCGGGAAGGGATTAATTAATAAGGAATTGACTGTTGTGAACCAGATACAAGTGGAATAGGGACAATTTATTGTTCTTAACCTTTTTGAGCTCTGTCTTCGTGAACGGGGTTCTTTAGCTTATAAGACTCTACCAACAGCTTTCGATTGCTCTCGTGAATATTCATTCTTCCAAGATACACCTAAAAGAACTAAGTTACTATACAAACACAACGTAAAAAAGGGTCCTAACTAAGACGATCACGCCATAAATTTATTAAACGGCCTATATTTAAACCTTTAGAAAGATCAAGTTATACTGGTCACGTAAATTAGATATATTTATATATCTTACAGATATAGATTCTAAAGAAATACAAGTATAAGTGGATATATAGTAGAAGAGAAAAAAGATGGGGGGGGGGGGGTTCGTTACAACGGGTTGATCATGTCTTTGATGTCAATTAAGCGTCTGTAGTCGACGACCATACGATATTTTTGCTCTCCGGTTGCATCGTTTTTTTTTGGTCCTAAGTACACTGGAGCTTTCCACGGAGAATGCGATTCTTGGATAACATTATCCTTTTATATATTTGTCTATTTATTTCTTCTATTTGTGTTGGGGCCTGTCTGTATGGTTTAACAAAGATTGGATTTTCATTCTTGATGCAAATTTTTACATATTCTATAAATTTCCTCACCTTCTTCGTCGTAAGTATGAACCAATTTGAGTTCATTTAATTGTTTTTCAAGTATTTTGTCGTCAGTTTTTTGTCTGTCACAATTGTAGTAAAATGAAGGTCACATTCAGAAACTAAATAATTTGATACTTGTAGGGGTTAATTAACTGTAAGAATCACTCGTTTTTAACACTTCCTCATTTGGTAAATTAAAACTCGCCAAAATATAATTTATATGGAGGGTAATAATTTGGGGGTGGATATCTTCCCATAACATACTGATTACAATTTTGATAACCATGATGAAAAGGGATGGCTGCTGATGTTGATATCCTGGGTAGGGTTGGTTCTGTGACTGGTGCTCTTGCCCGATTAATTGTGACATAAGATATTCTGTGTGCAACTTGATGCTGTATGCGACTAGTTATAGTAAGTCCTATGCGGCGGTGGTGGTAGTATACATATTTGATATGAAGTGTAAGGTGCTGAAGGAGCCGTTGTTTGAGGAGGAGGAGGTGGAGGAGGGGGATGTTGGATTGGTATGAAGGCATTACTGCCATCATTGGTATTGTTGGTGATAGTCTCTACATTTGTTGAAGCTGACATGCAGCGTGGTGTTGAGCAAATACTCGAGGTATTTGGCCAGTGGTAAGGAATAGATTTTCATCTTCCCACGTTGTACGAAAATAAGTGCAGTTCTCTTGTACAGCCACTTCTATTCCGATAGTCGTGGCAATTTTTTTAATTTTCTTTTAGTTCTTTAACGTCAAGTTCATAACGAAATTTACATTTTGCCTTTTGAACATGTCCCCCATACATACTTACGACATATTTACGTAGGTTGGTTACTGGTTTGCTTCTTTTCTGTTTCGGTATGCGATTCAGATAGCGGCCGAGGCTATGTGGAGATGTTTCTCGAACTCTACGTTAAATGGGGTGTCTGTATCGCTATGGCCAAAATTACCTCAAATGGGGTAAGGCCTGTAGTTGAGTATATAGCATGACTATATGCGATAACTGTGTACGTAATTATTGACGAGGCATTAGTGCACTTTTGTTCATTTTTTGCTAAAAGTGAAAATACACGGTTCAATCAAATTGAATCACTTTGCTTGAATGGAGCAGAAATGAAAGGAATGCTGTTTACACGGTATCTGGAAAATGAACTGTTCAAAACATTTTCTTCGAAAGATGTCGTCGAATGAGGTCGTACGTTTAGGAGTTGCAATAATATGTGATCATATAATAAAAGAATTATCGAAAAAGAAGCTAATGAAACGCCGTCGTTGGTGGGTGCGATCATGGGTATTAATTAAGAAGGCAAGCCTTAGGAGCGTCATACCGTCTATTGAGAGAACTGGCAGAAGAGGATCCAGATGCATACCTCAATCATCTTCGCATGAATGAAGCAAAATTTGATGAACTTCTTACAATGGTTACACCGTTAATTCAGAAAGAAAATACTATGATGAGGGATGCTTTGCCCGCAAGAGTGAAATTGCAAATCATTCTCAGACATCTTGCTACTGGGGATTGTTTTGGATCATTGGAAGCATTATACAGAGTACCGAGATGCTCAATATCATCTTTTTTCGAAGCAGTGTGTGAAGCGATATGGATAGTACTACGAGATTTTATTAAGGTCAGTAAAATATAGTGTAAATAAAACAAATGAATTAAGTAAATTTAGTGTATTCTTTTAATATTTCACAACATGTTTCTCATAGCTGTTTGGAGCAAGTCCGAAGTATTATTTTCTTGAGTTGTGGGCAGTATCTCACTAATTTGTTGAGTGTTTATGGGTGTTTGAAACTCATGATGATCATAAGTTTGAATAGGTGCCAATTGGAACTGAGAAATGGACGAAGGATATTGCTCATGTTGATAAGTATCTGGAGACATTTCATAGGTATAAGAACTATGTGACAACGCTGATGAACGCGTAAAATCATGAGGGGATGTATTAATGAACTGCAGCCGTTCCTGCACCATGACTTCTTGTAATTTCTGTTGACAAATCAAAGCTCGATGTAGTGGCATTCGCTTTAACTGCACAGCCAAATTTCTACAGAATAAGTCAAATTCATCTTCGGTGTTATTTTTAGCACCATCGCTAATGATTTTCAACTGCTTTATAGCCTTGTCTATTGGTGTATCACTGCATCTTTTCCGGTTTCTCGGCGCATGAGATATATTCGCGAGAGGCTGTTCATCTTTTGAGGTCTGAGAATGTGCGCTATCTTTTGCTTGAGGAGTTTCCTGACTCTTCTCTGTGTTTTCATATTCTGTCACCTGTGACTGCTACTCTGGGATGTTCTGTAAATAAAATTATGATTTTGTTTCAGGTTCCACAAAGCGAAAGTGAATGGAGAAAGATAATGAATAGTTTTTCCAAGATGTGGAATTTTCCAAACTGCTGTGGAGCCATGGATAGAAAGCTAGTAAAGATAAGATGCCCGCCAAATAGTGCTTCTGAGTATTTTTATTACAAAAAAAATTTCAGTATTATTTTATTCGCTGTCGTAGACGCCAATTATAATTTCATTTACATAGATGTGGGAACTAATGGAAGAGCAAATGATACTTGCGTTTTTGAAAAATCAACATTGAATGAAGCGATAACCGCAAATCTATTAAACATACCAAATGAAGGTGTTTTCGTAGCAGATGATGCATTTCCTCTGAAAACAAATATTTTGAAACCATATAATACAAGAGGGGAGTTCAACGAAAAACACAAAGTTTTCAACTATCGGCTATCCAGAGCAAGACGCGTAGTCGAAAATGCATTTGGCATATTAGTAGCAAAATTTAGAATATTTGAAAAACCCATCCCACTTACTGTGTCAAAAGTTGAACAGTTAGTAAAAACAACGTGCGCTCTTCATAGCTGGCTTAGAAAAATAACTCCCAATATTAACTTACAACATTTACTTCAGAGAGAGGATTGGGAAAAGGGATGTATTATCCCAGGAGAACGGCGACAAGTACCATCCGAAGCGATTGTGGGCATACCGCAAACCAGGCTAGGAAATCATACTGAAAACGCCCGCAGAGTGCGAAATATGTTTGCAGAAAAATTTATCACTACTAACATTGTACCATGGTGTGACGCCTCATAATTATTATTCATCATTACAGCCCTTCACAAGTCCACTGCTGAACATAGGCCTCCCCCAAAGAATGCCACAAAGCACGGTCCTGAGCCACCTGCATCCATCGACTTCCTGCATATCTTACCAGGTCGTCACTCCATCTAGTGGGGGGACGTCCTACACTTCGCCTGCCGGTACGAGGCTGCCACTCGAGAACCTTTTAATTATTATTAATAAATAATAATTAAATTCATTATACAACACATTTAAAAATGTCATAGAAATTATAATTTAAACAATTAAATGCAAATAATAAGCATAAAGTTCAAAAATATCCATTTGGAATATTGAATATTATAATATTAGTAAACGCATAAAATGTCTCTAAAAATCTCTAAATTTATTAAAAACCTGCTTAAAATGTTCAAAATGTATCAAATCATATAAATACAAGGTGATTATATTGCAATAACAAAGATAAATAACATTTGTAATATAATAGAAAAAATGGATCAAGTTGATGAAGGTGTTCTTGTAATAATTGGAAAATTTCTAAGTTGATGAACGTGTTCTTGTAATGTTCCCTTATATTGGGGCGTTGCCGGAGACACATACCCAAGGTTGTACATATATATGGGGTGGTCGGCTGACCGACTGGTAGTACTAAGGTTGCACAATGACTAGTCCTATATTAGGGACTTATAATAGTAAGGTCTAACATTAATATAGAAGGTCTCTATGATGCATAAGCATTATGATAGCAGAGTTATGACTTGAAGTCCCATATGAATAAGACATACAGTAGTATGGTCTATGAAATAAAGCAAATATGTGGAAGGTCTCAAATATGTAAAAGCATTATATTGAAAGAAATGGGACTTGAAAAGGATTATTATAGTGTCGTGTAGGTTGCTTCGCAGCCTCTGAGACCGAGGTAAACTTGGACTCACTAACCGATGTGTCCTAGACATATCATCTTAGTGCCGGTGGTAAGCGGGTTTGTTGTAGCAATACGACTTGCCCGTGGATATCGCACACCCCTACCGTTTGTGGGCGGCGTCTTAGCGCATAGCGTTATGATACGTCGGCTATCTTTCGGATTAGGGTGAGTGTGTTTGGTAGTACTTTTAAGTGCAGCAAGCATACTCAACTTCATGTCTTAATGCAATAGCGCTATGATACGTGGAGTATTGGCTACTGACGTCTTAGTACCGTACTACTATGATACGTTGGTGGTATTTTTAACAACATTATAAAATTTTGTTGCCAAAGTCGATAGGGATCATGTAGGTGTGTTGTGAGGGGGCGCCATCCGCATGATAGTTGCATTGATGCTTACTGCTACTTGCAGTATTGCGTCTTGTGATGGATCTGCGGGTGTACTGCACCTGAAGTGACGCATCTTGTGGTTCTGGTCGATGGAGGTATGCGGGTGGTGATGTCTGCTGGGACTATATGGGGGACCTTGGGAAGGTGTAAGCCCGACGATAGTCGTATTGATGCTTGTTGCATTCTGCAGCATTGCGTCTCTACGATGGTTGTTTGGGTCGCTATTCTCAATGGCGCTCTCCGTGTCTTGGTTTGACTCACAACCTAAGTAGCTTTGCCCTAGTCGGGTCCATTCATTGCGGGGCTGCAGACTGTCTGTCCTCCATGATGTTTTATATAACAACTTAATAATATATCTCTATAAAGTTCCCACCTTTGAGAGATTGAAGGCAACTTGTTGGTGGGTGAGACAAACATGATCGAAAAATGCATATACTCAACGTCAGTGACACAAACCCTTTCTGATGGCGAATTATTAATATTATCTTAAAATAATAACTGCCTATTGGCTATATCTGCCATTGTATTGGTTGGTGGAGCATATGTGTCGACCTCATGCGGGTGGTAGCTGGAGGGAGAATCTGAGGAGGCAGGCTCTCAAGGCTGCGGCCGAAAGCCGCGCAACGTGGGACCCCATTCCCTTGAGGTGAGCGGTAGACTCATGACACGCTCTGCGGCTAATTGGCCGTACTGACCATGCAATTGGTGGTGATGCCTTACACTTACATCACGTCTGCAGAAACGGCGGTCTGGCAGATGGTGGCGCTCACGGAGGGCTTTTTATGGTCAGTGTGCCGATTGTTGCCTAACCCGTGTGACGTACATTTCACTGTGGCTGGATTTGATCGTATTCTGTATGGCGTTTACATGCATTGACATGCGCGACTTCGGTCGATGTTTGTGCTTACACACTATCAAGGGGCCAAGTCCTCTTTTACTGGTTCGCCAGTTATTTTGCTGTGGACTACGGTCCAGTTCCCAACTTTGCGTACCCTTCGGGGGGAGCGCATTAAAATAGTTGGCGCTCACCGTGCGCGGCGTGTACCTCCTCCACATTTTTTTTTAAAATGTGGGAGAGCGAAGCCCTTGTAGCGGGTATTTGATATAAATATTGTGAGCCTTTTCCAAGCGGGAAGGGATTAATTAATAAGGAATTGACTGTTGTGAACCAGATACAAGTGGAATAGGGACAATTTATTGTTCTTAACCTTTTTGAGCTCTGTCTTCGTGAACGGGGTTCTTTAGCTTTTAAGACTCTACCAACAGCTTTTGATTGCTCTCGTGAAAATTCATTCTTCCAAGATACACCTAAAAGAACTAAGTTACTATACAAACACAACGTAAAAAAAGGCTCCTAACTAAGACAATCTCGCCATAAATTTATTAAACGGCCTATATTTAAACCTTTAGAAAGATCAAGATATACTGGTCACGTAAATTAGATATATTTATATATCTTACAGATATAGATTCTAAAGAAATACAAGTATAAGTGGATATATAGTAGAAAAGAAAAAAAAGATGGGGGGGGGGGGGTTCGTTACAATGGCAATTGCAAATGATAAGAAGAGTAGAATAATTTTCAATCTGTTTTATGTATTCGCGTAAGATTGTTTAAAAGCTTGTAATAACTATTGTGTTTTATTTAAATACTAGCTTTTAACCGCGGCTCCGCCCGCGTGGATGTCGGCTATCGCAACAAGTATGAACACATTACCCTCCTGTTGGACTCCATCGTAGTCGGTTAAAAAGTAGCCTATGTTACTCAGGTTCAGTGTAGCATTTTAAAGGTGAAATTTTTTTTTGAAATCACCCCAGTAGTTTCGGAGTCTATTCAATACGGCTCCGTGGCGCAGTGGCTTAGCAATGAGTTGGTGCGCTGGGGGGCGCGGGTTCGAATCCCGCACGGAACAAGTATTTGTATGGCCTACAAATGATTGTTCCGGGTCTGGATGTTTGTCCTTGTGAAATTTGTGTATGTAAACTGCCTCCACGATACAGGAGAAAATCCTAGTGTGGGGGTAACGTTTAAAAAAAAAAAAAAAAAAAAAAATACAAACAAACAACTAATCGAATCTTTCCTCTTTATAATATTAGTGTAGACTAGCGGTTGGCTCCAGCTTCGCATGGGTTTAATATATTAATTTAAATAGTAGGTACTCACGAAGTTAGATGTGCCTTCCCTTGGAACACATACAGCATTCAAAAACTCATCCGCTTGTTTAAACCAAAACAACTTTGGAACATAAATATTATCTGTGGAATAACCGCTTTTGGTCGATCGTTTTATTTTCGCTAATTCACAAGTATAACGGGTACGTATACTTTTAATTTTTAATTTTATGTCGTCTTCGGTTACACCGCTAATGTTCAAATCTTCAATTAGCGATTTAATAGCATTTCCACGACAATCTCGGTTTTTATAACCCTCCGTTTTATAATTCCATAGACACGTATACTTTTTAAAATGTTCCAAGAACCGAGGTGTGTGTTCTTCCTTCTATTTGAAAATCATTTCGTAGGTATGTAGTAGGTAGGTACGTATTGTCCAAAAATACGCCCTTCCTCGACACTGCGGCGCGCACGACTGACTGTAAAAGTGAATCGTTCAATTCTTGTGTTTACACATTCATTTCTCATTCATCCTCGTTGAATATTGAACGCTAAAAGTGAAAATATTGAGCATGTTCAATTCTTTCAACGCCGTAGAACGACAACATTCAATGACATTGAATGATTCACTTATAAGTTTACATGGATCAATTTGGTTGCTTCATCCAAATTGAAAGACAAAAGTGAACCGTGTAATTTCACCTTAACCTGTAGATTTCAATGACTGTTGAATGAAATCGCTCAATTATTCCTATTGAGTTTGGGTTATTGCTTGTACCTATGTGACGTTCTATTTAATGGAGGCTAAGGGAATCATTCATTAACTCGTTATTGAATTCCATTCCGGGATCCGAATTTATCTTTTTAAGAATTTCACAAAAAGAGAAGTATTTTAACCCATTAAAGCCTGAGTTTTCGAAACTTTTGTTTTTTTTATTTCTATTCGGGTTGAATAAGTAACAACATTACATCAAA